TCCACCCCACTCCCGTCTCCAAAGTGCCCGGGCGACGGATCCCTAGGGCCGCGCACGGTCCGCCCCCACCGCCCCCACCCACCAGCTCTACGTCCCGGCCCGGAGTACGCCGGTAACCAGGAGGCAGTGAGGGTGCCGCCGCTTCCGCCATCTTCCCCGGCTGACCGTACCGCAGGCGGCCGTCCCCGCAAAACCCTAGCCGCCTACCTTGGCGCCAATCTGGTTGCCGCACTGCCCAGCCTGCAGGTGCACGATCTCCCTCATGGCGGCGGCGACTGCGGAGCGACTGCAGAGGAAGAAGAAGTTGGGAGGAGCAGGCGCACAGAGTGCTACAACCGACGCTCTACCAGCACTTATATACGCCTCATAGCCCGCCTTCGCCAGCCTAGGATTGGGCTCCCAGAACGAGGCCAAGAAGCACCCTTATTTGATTGGTTATTTTTCCGTCAATCCAGTGGTCTAGGGCCCGCCTTCCCAGCGATATACACTCTTTATTGGTCAGTCCTGACTAGGGTTCTCCCTATCACAATCCCCGCCCTGGCGCCGCAGTGCTTAACTCATTGGGTGTTTCAAATGATTGATTTGCAGTCCCATTGGCTGCTTCATGGGAGCACGCCAAAGCCTGACACTATTGGCTGCGCTGGTTTGGCGTCCTGGTAACCGCCGCAGTGCATCGCGCGGGCGGGACGTGGAAAGCAAGCTTCCGCCCGAGAGGGCGGGGGCGTCTTTTTAGAGTTTTGTGGGCTCGGTTTGGTTTGAGGATCCGGGTGCGCTACTGGGGAGAGAAAGTGCCCATGGCATTGCGGTGCGGGACACATTGCAGTCCAGCTTTGGGACTTTCAAGATGAGGCGGATTGCAGCCGTGAAACAGCAACAATAATAGGATCCGGTGGAGGCGCTGGGTCCTCCCGGGACGCACTGGGCAGGCGCGGGGTCTGTTTGTTCCCGGGAGAGCCCTCCCTCCGCCCCTTCGGCTCCGCTCCGTGTTGTGGAAACCAGTTGGCCTGGAGCCTGTCTCCTTGGAGCCTTCGCTCCAAGTGCACGCAGAGCTACATGGAAACTGCAGGGCCAGGCATGCCTGGCCATGACTCTATGAGAGGGAAAAACAAACAAACAAACGGACAGAAGTAAAATTAAGTTCCTGCCCTGTAATGAATCGCTTAGAGAACAATAAGTTTATATATTTCAGTAAGTTTTTTTTTTTTTCCTGTTGTCAGGTTAAAGCATCCCCTGCCCTCAAAATGGCAGTGCTGACATTTTCCTAAACAGAAGGACTTGGCCAGGTAAACAAGCCTAAAAGATTTGTTTATTAGAAAAGTAGATCTCTTAAGGTGTTTTCGGTTCACAAGGAGCTACCTCCTTTAACCTTCTCCCCCAAAAGCAACTGTGCCATGGGCAGTAGTTGTGAATCAATTCTTTTCTGCCATTTGCTCTTTTCCCCCTCACCCACAATGGCCTTGGCAGTTTGATCCCCAGTAAATCTTTCTGCCCACGGAGCAGACTAGTTCAGTTCTCTGTGCCGTCGTTTATACAAGGCGGGGTCTTTTAACCTGTAACCTGGAATACAACTCAAAGGAATTCTTCCTTAGCCTCCAGAAGGCAAGAATTCACAGGCCTTCCCATGCCTGGCTTTGTAACTGGTTTTTTTTTTTTTTTAAAGGAATGTTACAACTAGGGGCTCTGTCCCAGTCCAGCAACTAGGCTTCTGTAGGTCTAACTTTTGGTATGAACGACCTTCAAAACTAAGTGTGTTAGGCAATCCCTATGACCAACAATGTCACAGGGAAAAATCACCAGGACAAGCAGAATCCTATCTTATTGTTCATATTTACCATTCTAACCAGTATGCTAGTCTCTAATAAGACCCGACTGTCCTGTCTCTCCTCTCCAAAAGGGTAGTTCAGAAAGAGGGACATGGGTTCTGTTGATCACATGCCTCAGGAGGGCTACACGTGTCAGGGACCAGCTTCGATGAACTTCATTATGTCCCAGGGTAGGAGCGTGGGTATTAGAATTATTAAGCGCCAGACAGAGCTAGTTCTAGAGCCGGGCAGAGGTGGTGCACACCTTTAATCTCAGCACCCTGGAGGCAGAGGCAGGCAGACCTCTGGGAGTTCAAGGTCAGCCTGGTTCAACTAGCCTAGGAGCTAGTTGCAGGACAGGCTCCAAAGCTACAAAAGGAACAGAGATATATGAGAGAAATAAAAGGCAAAAAGAACACTGGACCACCCAGAGTTATTTTCCACACCAACCCAAAAGAGGAGGGGGCGGAGTCAATAGACTTCATTAACATGATATAAGAAATAGACTTGAGTTCTCCGTTGGTCCAGGTGGAGTGAATCCATCTCTCTACCCAAAATACTAATTAACCACACCCTAAGTCAGGATCTCTTGTTTGTAGCCACACCTGTTGTCAACAACTTTGAAAGAGAAAAAAAAAAACAAAAAACAAAAAAAAAACCCTCAAACTTTGACCTTAGTCAAGGTGGAACAGGCTTACATCTGTGGACCCCCACAGTGTGTGAGGTGCACCAAGTAACTTTGGGGCATGCTCAGAGTTATTGCAATGCCCAGAGTATCTTCTGAGTTGACTCATCCTTGCAGAATAGCTTGGCTGCCAAGCAGTAGACTTAACCACTAGGATCTCAAAGCCAGAACATTCATATCCATGAAGGAAGCCGAAGTTCTAAGTTTTAACACAAAGAGCTGCCAGGGCTTCTCTTTGAGATGTTTGGGTCCCCAGTTGGGCAATAGATATGAATAACCTAGCAAAAGGCCATGGCTCTTGAGCACAGGTCCAGCAAGGACAGTGGCTGCCCACAGCTGGTAAGGGAAGATACTCTAGATTTTCACCATGAACCAAGAGTGCCCTTGTGCTGGTGAGAAAGAAGACCCAGTAGGACAAGAATGCCTGGAGCCTATAGCCTGAAAGGATGTGTACAGAGCTGGCCAGAAGAGCAGGGAAGCAAGCAGAATGCGCTGTGGGAGCATTGGGTGCCTGCCCTCCCTCCCCAGCCTGCAGCTGTTGGAGACTGCACAAGGAAGGCTCTGTTTACTGGTGGCCATGGTCCCAGTGGGAGGGTGCATTACTGTCAGGCAGGAGCGGCAGGCAGACAGTCTTTGCGGCCTGAAAGGACCCTGTGGTCAGCTTTTGTGGAAGGCCTTTCCTCACCCCGGAAGGAGAGATGCCAAGGTGCTTCCCCTGCGGACTAGGCCTCACTGACTCCCTCAGTGGATCTTCCAGGGAAGCAGGGAACGTCAGAGAACACCGGGAGGCTGGGTGAAAGCACCCTGCAATCAATCAATCAATCACAGGAGTGGGGGAAGTAAAGCAGCAGTGCACAGACCTTGTTCTGTCTTTGCTGGGGTTCATCTCTGCAAGTCCTTGGCTCGCAGAGCAGGCAGTCAATCCTCTTGGTAGACAGAGTGACTTCCAGGCGTAGGAAGCATAGGAGCTGGGGTAGGAGATGGCACAGAACTTGGGTGACAATAGAGGCTCTGGGTAAAGGGGGCCTGGGCTGTTCTGAGAGACAGAAAGGACCACAGAGACACCCACTGTGTGTGGGGGGGAATCGAAGGGAATCAGAAAATACAAAGGGGGCTGGACAGATGGTTCAGCAGTTAAGGGCGCTTGTTGCTCTTGCAGAGGGCTCAGGTTTTTAATCTCTGTACCTACATGGTGGTTCACAACCATCCATCCATCCATCTAGGCGATCTGGCACCTTCTGACCTCCAGTGGCACCAGGCTCAAGCAGTGCACATTCATTCATACATACAGTCCCCAAACCAAAACAACAACAAAAACACTCACACACATAAAATATGTAAATCTAAATAAATGTTAAAGAGAGAGGGAGAGAGAGAGAGAGAGAGAGAGAGAGAGAATAGGACCTTAGGGGCTCTCCAGGTTTTATCTCCCTGAAGACCATACCCCTTGACCCACAATGTCTAGCTAGGCAAACCTGGAGGTGTGGGGGAGAGGTGCTGGGAAAGGGTTTGGGACAAGAAAATTCACACAGGTATGTTCTGTGGGCCGCATGTGGGCAAGGGTAGTTACACAGGAGACAGCTCAACCTGGGGGGCTTACTTAAGACTCGAGGGTTTTCTTTGTTATAACTCAGTTGCACAGTTCTGGATCATGGAGCTTTGCTGATAACAATCTCGTGTCTCAATATCAAAAGGCTGAACATGCCTGAAAGCAGTAATGGACAGACAGAAAGGTATTCCTGTCCAGTCCAGGGTCAGCTCTTCTGTGGGTCTGATGGCTATAACCTAGTGCCTGAGTTTTGGGTGGCTTTTTTTGGTGGTATTGTGTGTGGCGGGCGGGGGTGAGCAGCCTCAAGCTGCAGGAAATGGTTAAGAGGCCTCTGCCTTTTCTCTGGTATCCAGTTACCTTTTGGCTGTAGGACAAGCTTTCCTGTTAGAAAACCAGACCGCCCGCGGGAGGCACGGAGCGAAGGGGAAGGAGTCCTCACTCTCCCAGGACCTTTCTTAGGCGCTCAGGTGAAGAAAATGGTGTCTAGCCCTTATATCTTTTCACCTAGATGAGCAAGTCCTAGCAGGCTTCCTGGACAAGTTTGGGCACCAAGGTGGCAGAGGTGGGGAGCTGTTTAGGATCCCGGCAGGAGGAAGGGTGCCCCCTGGTGGCAAAGGAGACCATGCCTGACCGAGCTTGCGAGCAGGACGCAACCTATCTCTTGAACAACTTGTTAACAGTAGTCATATGCTCTACGGCAGCTCCCTCCACTCATCGCCTGGCAGATCTCGGGTCCCCCTCTCGACGTGAACTTGGGCCCTCTTGCCCAGCCCAGCCTTCCCAGATAGTCCCCGGCCCGAAGGCCTGCAAACCGGTTGTCACCAACCACCACAGAAATAAACAAGCAGCGGCCTCAGGGGAACCCTAATCCCGAGTCTCCGCTAGGGGCAGCATGGCGCTGCTCGTCCACCTTGAGATAGGTACGTCCTCAGGCTGCCTTATCTGGGAGAGAAGGTCAACACTCCTTGGTGATAGCGCCGTTTATTTGCAAAGAATGGCACGCAGGAGTCTAGGAAGTCCACGCGGAGCCCTACCCCTCCTCCCCAGGAAGACTGGCAGGCAGTCTCTCCAGCCTCCAGTGCCCTGAAGCTGGTGGAGCTGGGGAGATGGACTACAGCACCAACTTTTCATAACTGTTGGGAAGCTATGACCTCTGGGTTCTCATAGCAGTTAGCCACTTTGCTGGTCATACTGGACTTGCTGCAAGCCCTGCAGGGGCAACACCCAGTCACCAGACGGTCCCAAGGCTCCAGAGAATGGAGCCAGAGAGGCAGCCAGTCCCAGGATCGAAGACAGGGAGGCAGCCAAGATGGCCGGTGTCTTTGCAGGACATTAATCAGGATGATAAGGAGCACCAGCCCCACCAGAGGACCTCCCACTGCAGCCAGCACGGAGCCCCCTGCCAGGGAAAGTCCAAAGGCTGCCAGGGGCAGCAGCAGGAAAGTGAATAGTAGGTAGACAATGGCTACCCAGCGGTACCGGGCAGTCAGGTCACCAAAACGCTTGGCCAGTGGAATGGGTAGTCTCAGGATAGGCACCAGGTACCACAGCAGTATGCCAGCCAGGTTGAAGAAGAAATGGATGAGAGCAACCTGGTAAGCAGGAAGGGCAAAAAAGGGGTGAGGAGCTTGGACCAGATGATGTGGGTCACCTGGGCTTTTTAGAAATGATGACTTTTGCCAGGTGGTGGTGGCTCACGCCTTTAATCCTGGCACTTGGGAGGCAGAGGTAGGTAGGCAGATCTCTGTGAGTTTGAGGCCAGCCTGGTTTACAGAGAGTTCCAGGACAGCCAGGGCCACACAACACACACACACACACACACACACACACACACACACACACACACACACACACCAAAAAACCAAACCAACCAACAAACAAAATAACAAACAAACAAAAAAAACCTATCTTGAAAAACAAAAAGAAAGCATGCCTTTCCCTGCTCTGCTCAAGTCTGAAGCTTCTCTGTGGTGTCCTCCTGAGTGGTTCAGAGAGACCACTTAGGATGGCAGGGTCCAGCCAGAGCAGGCTCATGTTCACCCTAAAACCCTCCCCCACATTTTAGGAGACAGGGGCCTATGCCTGCACAAGAGTGTGGTAGCATATCCGTCTGCTGCCGGAGACAAAGCGGGGTGGGGTGGACAGGGAACACAACACATGGCCTTTCTGTGAGTGAGCACAATCCAGAGGCCTGAGAGAGGATGGTTCAGGGTCAGGAGGCTCTGAGTGGCAAAGACGATACAGAGGCAAAGATGCAGGAGGCAGGCAGGGAGGGCAAGGCTCGGGTTTTTCCCGGGAGCAGCAACTAGTGCCAGCCAGGATTTCAGAACCTGATTCTGCCCTAGGCAGAGGGAAGTTAGAGCCAGGGCAGTGGACCAAAGATTAGGTGATTTAGAGAGTCAGAGCTCGAACAGGCCTAAGGGTGAGGCACGGAGCTGCGAGACTTGGGGTTGGGGGAGAACTTAGAGGCAGAAGCATGTCTCAGCTTAGGTGGCATGATGTGGTTAGCAAACGTGCACAGGTGAGCTCAGGCATCCCCAGGATGGGCTCTGGGAAGACATGACGTTCCTTAGCTAGTGACATCGGTACATGGAGGACCAGGAATTTGGGAACAGTCACATTGGAAGTGTGGACCAGAGGGCCACTCTTGAATACCCCAGAGAACACAGTGAGGAGTCCCGGATGGAGGCGCCAGAGGAGCACTGATCCTTCAAGGGAAGCTGGGGGACAGAGAGAGATACAAAGATAGAGGGACAAAGAGCAGGAGATGACCACAGGTTATTCCAGGAAAGTCGTCCTGGAAAGGAAGAACCGAGGCTAGGGCTGCGAGGTGCCCACAGTGTCCCCCTGTATCTGGGGCTAAAGGGCTATGGTTGGAGTCTGAGGAGCCCAAGGAGAGCTGGGGCTGTTACCAGCTTTTGCGGGGCTGGGAACGGGAAACAATGGCAGGCAGTACCTGGACTGCAAAGAGCAGCATGTCTGAGGGGCTGGCCAGGGCAGCCAGCAGGGCTGTGGTGGTGGTGCCAATGTTGGAGCCCAGGAAGAGGGGGTAGGCCCGTTCCAGGTTGATTATCCCAACCCCTGGAGAAATGGAGGGTCACTAGGGGCTCCAGCCCGGCCGCCCCGTCCCAAGCCCATCGCCCACTTTGGCTTACCCATGAGAGGCACGATAGCAGCTGTGAATACACTGCTGCTTTGCAGCAAGAAGGTTAAGCCTGCACCAACAAGGATGGCCAAGTAGCCGCTGAGCCAGCCAAAGGGAAAGGGGAAATCTGCAGGCGTGTAGGGTGGAAGGCTGTTGGGTCACTCTTAACTCCCCGCCTTACCCTCCATCCCAGGTCCAGGGCCTCCACACACCTCACCTACCCGCATTGATGACCGTTTTCACAGCCTGGGCGATGCGGCCCTGCAGCACAGAGTTGAGCAGCTTAACAATGAGGACCAGACAGGAACAGAGCACCAGCAGAGAGCCCGCCAGCAGGATGAAGCCCACAGCCAGGTCCGTGAGCCCCGTGCCCACAAACAGGTGATGGCCTGCGGGGGGGGGGGGAGGGGGCAGGGTGATGAGTGGTAGGGAGTCAGAGCAGTTAGCAGGGCAGGGGGCCCGAACCGGCGCAGGTACTCACAAGGCACTCTGTTCTCCGGAGCCAGAGTCGTTGTGCTATTATTCTCCCTGCAGGGGTGGAAGCCCTGGGGCTGAGGGAAAAGGAGGACTCAGGCTAGGCTCACAGCAGGCACACACAGAGGTTAAAAGGCTCAAGATCAAGCGGGCAGGATGATTTGGCAGGTCAGAGAGGGATGGGGTCAGAGGCACCTCACCGGTGTTTTCCCCTGGACGTCACACCATTGTTTAATCAGGCTGCCGTTAGTGGTGTTGCTGGTAGCACTGCTGGTAATCATGTTGGTATCCAGCTGGTACACAGAGGGGGCATGCTTATGCATCTGGCACTCCTCCCCTCAGTCTATTCCAAGCCCTCTTCTGTCCCCTTCCAGGACAGGGCTTCTGCCTGCTGCTCCTCAGCAGCCAGGCGCAGGTACCTTCCTATCTGTCCTCACCTGGATGATGAGGTGTGTGAAAGGCTGCGTCAGCACCTTGAGGAAATTGGGGGCCTGCCCCCCAGGTTGGAGGCTAGCGGCACCCAGGGCCAGTTCACTCAGCCTCTCTAATGCTGCCGTGGCGCTCTCCAGTGGCAACAATACCAACACTGTGAGCCAGTTGAAGATGCCATGCACAGCCGAGCCGCTGAAAGCCCTGCAGTCATACAGGGCAGGCTGGCTGTCTGAGCTGCCTCTACTGAGGCCAGTCCAGACCCAGCCTGGCCCTTCGGCCCTGACTCACCTCTGGAACTCCTCCCGGTCCCCTGACTGCGCCATCGAGACCAGGGTGCTGGTGATGGAAGTGCCCACGTTGACGCCCATGATGATAGGCACAGACACCTGGACAGTCAGCACTGTAGGGGTGCCATTTCAGCAGCCCTGTCTGTTCACCAACCCGCCCGCCACTGCCCTGGGAAAAGGGAGGTGTACTCACACTTAGAGGCCACCATGCTAACCACAATAGAGGAGGATGTACTGGAGCTCTGTACGAGGACTGTGACCAGCACGCCGATGACCAAGCCAGCCACGGGGTTGGACAGTACCACATTGTCCTTGAAAATGTCTCCGGCCATTCTGCCTATTCCCCACAGAGAGATGCACTGAGGCTGCCGAGGGCTGATGTCCCATCCCCACCTTGGCCTCCTGCCTGGTCACTCACTGCCTAGCAGCTGGAAGGCGGAGCTGAGGATGTCCAGGGAGCAGATGAAGAAGTAGAGGCTCCCCAGGAGTCCACACGCCTTGAGGAAGCCGATGACCACCTGGTGAAGCCTGCTGGCCATGCTGACCTCTAGAGACACCAGAGAGAGCTTATTTGACCAGCTGGCTACTCCCCAGCAGCAGCACCCCCCCCACATACACACATTTTGTCCCTTGTGAACAGGGACCATATTTCCTGTCACCTCTCAGACAGAACACAGGATCTCCCTTCTGTCCCATTGGGCAGGAACCTGTGTCCTCCTCTCATGTTCCCCAGGGCAGAGACTATGTCCCCTCCTTTGTCCTCCCTTGTTCCTTTGCCCATGACCTTGGAGGGGGAGTCCCAGAACTGAAGCCATCAGCAGGGAATAAAAGGAAGACCAGAGGCTGGGAGGGGAGTTTTCACCCCATCTTAAGCAGATGAAGGTGAGTTTCTATGAGGTGTATTCTACCAAGTCCCAGCCTATACTCTGCTAAGAAACAGGAAACCAGGGGCCTGTCTGCATGCCGTCTCATCACCCGCAAACCTACCTTTCAGTTCGTCAGCGTTCTTCAGCTGAGGGAAGGCCCAGGGGTCTGTGCCTCCCTCCTCCAAGCCTGGGATAGAACTGGAGGTCCCTGTGGGGGTCAAGTCAGGCAGGGCTGTTTGTAGAACCCCTCCCAAAGGTGGAGGACAAAAGGAAACCAGAGGTGGAAGGGGCTGGGGCACAAGGGGCCATGGATGAGGTCCAGAAGCAGGGAAGGGGAGAGTTTCAGTGAGTCTGGCTCAGGCCAGGGGTGTGAGGAGACCCCAAAACTCTTCGAGCGGGCAGCTAGAGAACCCTTGTTTTGCCTAGTGTAGCTGTCAAGAGGCGCCTGATACCTGAATTTCTCAGATTCCGGTCCACCAGGTCAATGGCATCCAAAGTAGGGTTGGGGAACTGGCCACCAGCAAGGGAATTCGGCATGGATTTCCAGGAAAGAGACCCAGGCCCAATCCTAGATTTGCTGAGGGCAAAGCAGGTGAGAGCAGGTGGTTCCTCCTACTCGGCCTCTATCCCACCCAGCAGTTTAACGTCAGGGCCCCTGACCTGAACCTTCAGCCGCAGCAGCCCCGTGCCTTGCAGGTCTTGGTGGCTCTCCCTTCCTTCTGACCACAGACAGATGGCTACCGTGACCTCAGGTGACTGTCAGGCGAGCCCAGTTTAGCTTCAGGGGGCAGGAGACAGGAGCCACTGGATCCCTGGCTCCCTTACTAGTCTTGGCTGAAAGAAGGTTTGGCAGCTGACTGAGGGCACAGGGTTCTGGGGCACTACCTGGAAGTAGCGGGTAGCTTAAGAACCCTGGGATTTCTCCTATCAAGTGTCAATGAGGACACTCCAGATAGTCCCAGCTTAGACTTTGGTATTTGATACCAAGCAGGTGACTTGCTTGATAACAACAGGTCCAAACAAAGACTTTGGTATTTGATACCAAACAGGTCCTTGCTTGATAAGAGCCCTGCCCCATCCCACCCTCAACTTAGGAGCAGGGCTTCGGAGCCCCCTGCCCATACCAGATCCCTTCTATCTGTTCTGGCCCCATGGGCCTCTGGGTCCGGAACTCTTTACATCCTAGTCTACCTGACCCCTCCCCTATTGCTTGGGGCCCAGGCCCAGGGGTCCTTGGTGTGCCCTCCCTTTGGCCTGGCCCTAGGCTCTTCTCACTTGCTCTAAGGTCGTAGGAGTTTCAAAATGGTGCCCAAACCCTGAACCTGGTGGTCACTCAGCTCTGGTCCAGTGTCCATTAGCTTGGTCTAGCTCTGGGAGCTCCTACCTGCATGTGTGGTGAGGGGCACCAGCAGGGAGGAGGCTCAGCGGGAGCTGTTGCAGGTCAAAGATCTGCCCAGTGCGCACATGACCTGCTGTGTGGAGCCCCATTAATGTTTACCCAGGAGCTGGGGCCCCCAAGGGGAGACCCTGCCTGGCCCCGAGGCCTTATTCAGACCCTTGTCATCCTAGGGCTAGGAGTCCTGAGCCCCCAGCCCAACTCTTTTGGGGTGGCACTTCTCCGAGGGATGGGCAACAGCTGGCCAGGAACATAATAGAGCTAGACACGGCAGCCACCAGTAGGCATCTGATACATTTAATGGACACTCTACAGCACCCAGGCAGGATGCTCGCAGTCTGGCCAAGGCTGCCTAAAGGACCCCAGGAGAACGTTGCCCTCCTCTTCCTCTGTTCCTCTGAACTCTGCAAACCTTATCATGATCGTCTGTGTTCCTGACAGAGACAAAAGGGAAGCCCTTTGCACCAGGTGGGTGTGGAAAACGGATTTCCTCAGGTGGCCTGGGAAGGTACCCAGGCCTTCAGGTCAGCAGATTCAAATCTGAGGTTAAGGGTAGGGCTAGATCCAGAAGGGCTTTCAGTGGAGGCCGGTGGGAAGGGGGGGCAGGACATTGGTCTCTACCTGCAAAGATGGATGGGGGATGGTAAAGCCCTTCCCCATCCTACAGTGCTCATCACCTGAACCCTATCTGAATATCCTTTCCCAGATGAGTATTGTTCTGTGCCCATGTGCATGTAAAATGTCCCTATCTTGTGGGTCAGTCCCTTTCCAGCCCCTGGGATGGGTACTGGGCCCTCCCCTGCAAGCTGTTTCCTTAGAGGCCCTGCAAGCTCCAGCACCCTGCACTGCTTACTGCCCAGCTTTGTCCCTGGGCGCTTGAGGGACTTTGCCCAGGGAACGAGTCTTCTGAGTCTTCTCAATGTCTATTCAGCAAATTCCCTTTCCTCCCCATCCTACAACAGCTCCCCAGGAAGCCCCTCCCAGGGGCTCCTCCCCAGGAGGCTCCTCCCCAGGAGGCCCCTCCCAGGGGCTCCTGAATACAGCTCCTTCCTAGAGGGATGGAGTGTTACTGCTTTGGCCTGGGGTTGTCATTGTCTGTAATTTGTAACCTCTAGCATCTACAGGAGGTCTGGTGTGGGGTTTTGTTTGTTTGTTTTTTGTTTTGTTTTGTTTTTTGAGACAGGGTTTCTCTGTAGCTTTGGAGCCTGTCCTGGAACTAGCTCTTGTAGACCAGGCTGGCCTTGAACTCACAGAGATCCACCTGCCTCTGCCTCCCGAGTGCTGGGATTAAAGATGTGCGCCACCACCACCCGGCTCAGATCTGTGTTATTATGATCACCAGAGGTATAAGGAGGCTGGGAGTCTTAAGCTAGAATGATTAGCTGTGAGACCTCAGGCAAGACCCCTTGTCAGAGCTGGCTCTCTATGGCAGCCTTCTTTGATGCCTGCCAAAGAGGCAGCTTTGGGCAGTGGCAGACCCTCTCAGAACAGTTCCTGGCTCATGGTAGGAGCTCGGTGACCACTGATGAAGAGATGAAACACATAGACTCCAGGGATAGAAGAGGTAACCTGCCCTCCCTCTTGGCTCATACCCGTGAATGTTTACAGAGAGGAAGACCCGCTCTGAGGCCAGCCACTCATGGACAACTATAGCCTGGCCCTGTCCAAGCCCCTGCACTCATCCCCACAGACTCTTAGGAGCCATTCTCCACGCTAGGTCCTGGGTTTACAGGTAACATAGGCAGCAGAATGTTGGCTAGCCAAACGAAGTCACAGGCTGGTTTGGGGTGTGGGAATCCCCCATAGACTAGTAAAATTGAATGTCACCAGCCTACTGTGGCACCATGGCCACTGACTCTGACCTTAGGCTATGGCTTGAGATGTCCCTGGTCAGGGTGACACCACTCTGTCGGATCATGCAGGACTATAAGAAGGAGGCCCTGCTCGCAGGCTGTTCGGTCTGTGCTGTGTATGATCAGTGGCTCCGCGGCAGGCAAGCGGCTAGCACAGTTTCCTTTGTGCAGGTGGAGATAGCCAGAGTTTAGACCTCAGGGTTCCCCAGGGGATACCAGCACAGTCTTCCCCAGCCCCAGCAGCAGCATCCAGGCTGAGGAAAGTGGGGTTGGGGGCCCAAGGTAGGGTAGAGTCCAGCCGGCTGCTGAGTGATGGTAGTGCCAACTTTGAGGGGGACAGAGGACCTGGGTTCTATTCTTGATGGTTCCCGTTCAGCTTTGACTGCCAAAAAGGCAGCTAAGTCCAGGTCCAACATGGTCACCCCTCCACGAGGCATAGGGGTACTTTGTCGGCACTGTGGGCAGGGGATCCAGTGCTGCTCGTGGGCTGGCGTGTCCAGGCGCCGCATACATGCCTGGCAGAAGGTGTGGCCACAGTAGAGGCGGCGAGGCAAGTGTACTGATAGGTCATAGGCAGAGTAGCAGATGATGCAGTCATTCCGTGGGGCCGTCAGGGCTGCCCCTTCCTCCAAGGCTCGGGGGCCTTCAGGCTGCAGCATCCTAGGGAGAGTATGAGGGAACCAACAGGGCAGGGCAACCGCACAAGCTACAGTTCACCTCTGCCCACCTATGTGATGTTTTGGTCCATGCTGGCCCCCAGAAAGTGGAGGACAGGGCCATGGGACGGTAAGTACCTGCACACCTGGAGGGAAGATGGTGCCTTTGGGCTAACACCAAGTCTAGGCATATCTTTTGTTGCTGTGGCCATTAGCTGAAACATCATCCTATCCCACTGTTGAGACCCACCCCTAGCCTTCCTGAACCCCGGGCTTCTCTTACCTGCATCCACTCCACCAGAAAGATATTCCCAGCTAGAGGACTGCAGAAGGGGATGGGGACCCGGGACACTTCATGGCTCCCTCCCTGGGCTCGCATTACTGGCCACACAGGCAAGCGAGCAGGAGGCAGGTGGTGGCTGCGTCAAGTGAGAGTGGGCTCCCCTTTCAGCCACAAAGCGCCTGCAACAGGATCTGCCGCTCCCTGCTCCCAGCACTGGGCAGGAGATAAGGTGAGCCAGCCCCCTGAAGGATGAACCTGCCCAGACCACTCCCCTCTGTAACTCCCAGAGACCTGGTTTTGTCTTTCTCCACTCTAGGTGTCTCCAGTGTTTATGTCCTCCCTATTCTTGTACCCTTCTTCCGGGTCTCATCTGATCACCTCCTTGGTAATGTTTTCCACTTTGGCCTCCGCTCACATCACCTCCTAGGGAACCTACCCCCACCCTCCCATCAGCTCTATGGTAGGGTGCATCTTCTTGCTAATTTGCGTCACTTCTCAGGATGGCCTTCCTCCCCACCTAGACTAAGTCTATCCTATGATGTCACAGGAAGTAGCCCGCCCATCAGGCCTGAAGTGTGATGATCTCCCTCACACAACCATCATCCCAGAAGCCCCACCACACCACACCCATGCTAAGCATCTCCCAGTTGGCCGCCTACCTGACCCTCGGCCTCTACAATAGTCCAGGGAGAGACAGTTCAGGGAAGTGGGATCCCTGTTCCCTGTGATGAGGACTGGAGAGGAGACAGCACAGAATTAGGGAGGCACACAGGGTTGCTAGGACCCCTAATTCTGCACACAGGGTTGCTAGGACCCCTAAGGCTGCACACAGGGTTGCTAGGACTCCTAATTCTGCACACAGGGTTGCTAGGACTCCTAATTCTGCACACAGAGTTGCTAGGACCCCTAAGACTGCACACAGGGTTGCTAGGACCCCTAAGGGCGCACACAGGGTTGCTAGGGGAAAAAAACTCTCCTTTACTCACTTTTACCCACCCGCTTGGCAGTCTGCCTTTAAGACTGGTCAAACGGGTTCCAGTGCTGGCCCTCACTGGAACTAGGAGCTCAGAGAGAAGAGTCAGGGCAATGACCTATCTGCCCATTCCTGGAGACCTCTACACACAACACATCTGGCCTGCCCTCTTACATGACCTGTCTCTGCATCAGGGAAGGGCCAACTTCAGGAGGACTCGTTTGTCGAGTGAGGCCAGCTCTTCTCCCTCTTCACGTGGCATTGCGGCTCTGCCCTGCCCCGGAAACACCAGGCTGCCCAGAGCTGGCCTCCTTGCACACTCCCTACCCTGGCATCTCAAACATGGCCCCCAGCAGGCATCTCACACTGCTTGGACAGGTAAGAAAAGAACACTCCCGTCAGCCCTGCTGTGCCTCATCTTCAAGGCCTGGCACACATCACTTGAAATAGGTTAAACAGCAGAGCTCTGGATAGTAGGGATTGTATTTGTGGGAAACCAGAAACATGCCCTGGCCAAGGGCGGGAGGTGACTCACGTTGGGCAGGGCTGGGTTCTGGGCCCTGGATCTGAGCTCCCACTCCCTGAAACCTGCTAACATCAGCCCCACCCACTAACAGCCCTCCAATCTAATCCTCCCCCAGAGTATTTTCTTGGGGTCCCCCACAGTGGCAAGTATGGTACCCTCCTACCTTGTGACTCAGGATTAATCTTGTTTACTATCTCAGCTTCAGCCCTAGGGAGAACGAGGAACTGGCCCAGGGCAGTGGACATATTACCATCTACGAGCCCCTGGGTGGACTGAGACCTGCTAGGGCCCTAAATTATGGACGTCATGAGGCATCCAGTCCTGGAAGGTCCCACAGAGTCTGGGAGTCTACCAGGGAGACTGTGTTTGTGTATGTTGAGGGCAAAAGCAGTTGCCCAGACTAGGATCCTCTCCCAAACAGACCGCCCACCCCCCATTTAAAAAAAAATAGTCACTATCACAGTGCTCACCCTGCTTTATTGCCAAAGTCTTGCAAGTAGTGAAGGGTGTCCCTATTGCTGCCAGCATGGCTAGTGGCTGGGACTGTATCTCAGAGGGCACTAGCTGGGCCTTCCTGGTGGACAGGCTCCCCAGATGCCCATGACAACGGCCGCTCCTGATGTCCGGCACCACTTTGGCATTGAGCAGAGACCCGGGCCCCACAGCCCTGGAGGTTGGATAGTCAGGCTAGGAGACAACACAGCAACAGCTGTGACAACGGCAGAACCGTGGGCAGTGGCAGCAAGAGCAGCAAGGCAAGCAGCAGCAGTGGTGGGCAATGTCATCGCCACGCCCCACAGGCGGCAAGCCAGCATAAGTCAGTCCTGATGGACGCTGCCCACCGCTGTAGGGGTTGCAGGGTGACTGCCAGCTCTGTTGGCTCTGCTCAGGAGCTGTACCTTTGATGCCCTTGGCACCCTTTGGCTCTGGGGCTTCAGTCATTTTCAAGAGACCCGTTGGCTCTGGGGCACAGGTTCCTGAGGGCAGAGGCTGAGTCTCAGCGGAGGAAGATGAAGATGGAACCTCCTCTAACTTCTGGCCCAGGTCAGACCGCAGGTGAGCCCGAGGGATGCTGATGTGGGTGTATGGATTCTTCACAACCATCTCATGGGGGTCCATGGCCCAGGCTGCAGGGGTGAGCAGAGACACATAGAGGGACTCAGGGAGGAGAAAACCTGCTTGAGAGCCCATAGCCCAAGAAGACACCTATTCTGGAGGAATCTGCCTTGTGAAGAGCCTTATCAATTAGCATCTGCATGCAGATGTGGGGACATCAGGATCTATGCAAGGCCTACGTGCCTTGGAGGTAGGCCCAAGTACCCAGTTGCCACCCTCCACCAAGTGTCCAAGAGATGCTCCTGGATGCAGCTGGGAATGGGGATAAAAAGCTAGGAGACACTGGTGAGCAGGTCTAAGGGAGAGCAGTGTCTGTCCAGGAGGTACCTCTAAAGTACAGGCCAGCCACTGGGCGAGGACTCACCTGCAGCAAGCAGCAGCAGTATGTCTTTCTGTCCTCCAGCTCCAGGTCCCAGTGCCTGTGAGTAGAGCTACCAGCAGGTGCCTTTTCCCTCCTAGAGAGGGGTGGGGCTTTGGGGCGGAGCTCAAAGATGGGGTTCCCAAGATCCCAAGAGGCCTTAGCAACTAGAGCACAGCAGCCAGTCACCCCTCATTCCCAGATGGGTGGAGGCCAAGGTTTGGGCTCTAAGGGGCATTTGCCAATCTAGGGTGACTCAATCACGATTCATCTGAGCATGTCCTACCTCCTTGGGTCATGGCCCCAGAGAGGAAGTGGGGGCAGGTCTTCAGATTCTGGGGCCACCCAGCCATTGCTCACATTTCTACAGACACGGTCCAGAATTCCTGCTTGTCACCTACTGCCCATACCCAGTTGACACTGGGATGCCTGAGACGGCTTGGAGGATTGTCCACTTTCCTAATAAAAAAAAAGTTTTGACACAACTTTGTAGATACGCTTTACTTTTCTTAAATTGGTTACATGGACACAAGTAACATTTTCAGCTCGTGTTTCTGAAAGTGCAATTTCCCTGTGCAGTAGAGTAGTAGAGTAGGGGAGAAAGCTCCCCAAAGTTTTCTGTCCCCCCCACCCATTCTTGGCCCTGGCACCCTTCTTTTGCAGCTTTACTTCCTTGTCCATAGAGGACACAAAGAATGACGGTGGGGCTGGGGGTGAAACAATAGTTGAAAGCTTATGAACCAACCGGTGGGCTCCTCTGGGTCTACGCTACAGCGGGAAGGGCTCGGACCCCATTCGGGAAAACACCAGGAAGGAGAGAGCAAGTAGGACACGGACTACAAGCCAGGGTGACTGAGTGCAGAGCCAGTCAGGCAGGCTGAGCAGCTTAGCAAGCAGAAGGAAATGGGTCTGGGGGAAACAAGCCTAAGAGGTGGAAAACAGCGCTCTCAACGTGGGAACCTTTAACCTTGCCCACCGCCCCCGGAGACTCCGCCCCTAGCCGCGAGCATGCGTAAACCCGGTCGAGGTGCCCAGTGGAAACTTAATTCCCCAGAAGCCTTCGCGCTTCAGGGTTTCCCAAAAGACCCGGTTTGGATGGATCCTTGGCTTGCTCCGCTCAGAACGGCGGCTGGTTGGGGGGGGGGGGGGGGGGGGGGGGACGGGCTTATTCTCTCATGGGGCGTGGCTTCATTTCACGGGGAGGGACTCTGGACAAAGGGTGGGGCCATAGGTGGCCTTGCGCGCGGGCCAAGTTGGGGGCAAGTGAGCAGAGCCCTCCTGGGAAGGGTGGGCTCATTCCTTTCTCCGATCACCGCTACCCGAGTTACCCCAGCGTGATTCCAGGATTCCCATGAGACGCCTCCCCCCCATACCCCCGCACCTGACCCCTCCTCTCACCTGGTCTTGCTGAAGAAGCCCTGATGTGCACCCTTGGTTCCATAGAGTTGTAAAGTCTGGTCCAGCTTTGGCTCACCAGGAACATTGTTCTCTTCGTCTTGATTGTACAGAGAGGGTCTGTGGCCTGAACAAAATCTGGATTGTCCAGGGTCAGGCACAGGACTCAGTGTTGGTCACAGGCAGGTATGGGTACGCCTGGTGGCCATGAGATGGTAGAGAATGGCACTCTGAACATGTAGACATCCTGGTCACCAGCTTGTCCTTTGCCCTTTCCTCACTGAGGGCTCCCCTGAGGCAAAGGTGTAGGTCCAGGTAGAAAAGGACCAGGTAGAAGGAGGAAGAGGAAAGGAATGGGGCCTCCGCTGGGTGGGGTCACTTTAGTACATAACACAGAAGCGCGTGCTGACCCGATACGACACAAGAAAGGGCTACTCCACCCTAGGCAGGTGAGTGTGCTCAATGGGCCCTCCACCCAACACGTGGACTGCCAGCTTGTCCAGGTATTTCCAACTCCCCACCTCCGGTCAGGACACCCGCCGAGCCTCTTCCTGCCTGCCCCAGCTCCCTTCTGCTCACTCCTTTGGTATCCGCTTAACCTCTTATCCCTTTTGCTGTCATATCGCCGTCTTTGAGTTGATGAGCCCTGGGTGCAGTGTGGATACGTCAGTGAGTTGGAAAACTCCCGGCGTTCACACAGGGGGTGTGTCGGGGTTTGGCGTGAAAGGACCCTGCCCCTTCAAAGCTCGAAAGGTAGACGAGACACTGGTGGAACACTGGGACCCCTGCTCGGGCATTGTGAGGCTCAAAATGTAAGGAACTAAAAAGCGAAGGATTCCCTTACAAAAGGCGGAGGGGCAGCCAAGGGGGAAAAAGGGAATGCTGGCGACACGGGGATCCCGACCCGCCTGTAGCTAGCTGGGAGGTCGACCCTGGGAGCAGACGCCAGGCCAGGAGTGGATCGAGGGGCGGCTAGGAGACTGGCCCCGCCCCGTGGACCCCGC